ATGCCTCGGAATCCCCCAGGAGGAACTGGAAACCATAACTGGGGAGAGGTATGTCTGTAATGCCCTGCTTAGCCTGCTGCCACCGTGACCCGACCACGCACACACACACGCACACACACACACACACACACACACACACACACACACACACACACACACACAGATGTACATATATGTATTTATATGTCATGCTATCCTTTGTATTCTCTCTTGAGACATAATTATTCAAATATTTCTTACAACCTTAATCTAATTTGAAAGACTACCTCCTAGACAATCTCACAGTTGTACCTAGTTTTCATGCAACTGCCCTGTTAGGTTGTATGATTTTTATTTTCTTTTTTTAAAAGCCTGCTGAGTGAGGTCAGACTGGCAAAACATTGCCCAAGGCTTCTCGGAGGATGGGAGAGGGAATGTAGGCAGTCAGCTCAGAGACAAAATGAGCGACAGACACAGGGTCAGACAGAGAGATTCCATAAGACCTCCAGATATTTATGCTGCTGTTCCCCTACTGTAGCCTAATGGCTTCGTCGTGCTGTATGACTTACAATATGCGCTTCTTCTTTATGTTTCTCTGTTCAGCAAGTCAAATGCCAACAGGCCAAACAGCTATTTCTGTCAGCAGCGGAGAGGGTCAGCGGTTCTTTTCATTGCATGCTTTTGCTCATCTTTTCCATTAATCAATATGATGATCCGGATTAGTCTGGGAACAATCCAGGCCAGTAAGCTAGAATTTTAAAAGAGGACTTTGTCTGATAATTTTAAGGTAAAGCAGCTGTGGTTGTCGAATAATGCATGAGTTCCCCAATGACGCTTATGATTGAGCTTTTTCTACGAGACGTACCACCGATGAATCAATTAACCAGTACGTGTAATTCATATTGTATGTGTTTGAAGATACATAGACGAACATGACCAGTGTATCTTAAATAAAGGCATTTAATGAAATAGGACTGTTATCTGCAACAGCTGGTATCTCCAAATCTGAGCAGAATTTATTTCCGATTACTTAAAAAGAGCACAGTTTATCGTTTTTCTCCAGAAGTACTTCCCGGCTCTTAAATCCCACTCCTCCTTTCTACACCCTGACCTCTACCCTTTCTTTCACTTTCCACACTTTTCCTACTTTTTTCTTATATTCTCTGCACTCTCAACACTCCCCCTGGCTATCTTTTCTTTTCTCTCTTCCCCTGTCCCCTATCTGCCCCCTTCTCCTCCTCTGTCTCACTCTTGGAAGGAAAAGAAAAACAGTGCCGTCATTTTCTTCAACTGAATGAATCCTGACTGCGCTCGAGACTCTTAATGTATATCCGAGTGGCGTGGCAAACAACAGTT